CACTAAAATCTCGACTCCAACAGAATGATTATAAATGAATTCTTTAACAAAGTTTCATTTCAGTAAGCACTACTAACTCAGAGCATTTTGCAGTATAGAAACCTTTCAAATACATTCCCTGTGGTTATTTGCAGCAACTCTGTGATATAAGTATGGCAAACATTATTGTTACTTCTCTTTTCATAGAAGAGAAAGCAGCAGTCAGAAACCAGATTGCTCGGCCCGAGTAGTGTGCTCTGGGCCAGTGTGTGTATTTAAGGCTGTCTGAGTGGCTGTCCTCAAATATCTATCGAGGAGCTTTCATCTACCATTCTAATGAAACATACTGCAATGAAGGAAAGTTACTATCCTTTCTGGCGTGAACGTGCATTCTGCAAAGTAGTTCTGAGAAATAGATGGAGGTTCAGATAGACAGGCAGACAGCAGACAGGAACCAGATGGGGGCTGGAGGAGCACGGCTCTAAGAGCAGACAAAGGCGCTCGGGCTTGGAGTAGGGAGTCCTCCCCGAATGCACACAGCAACGTCTGTATGTTTTGAGAAGATAAGTCTGGCAATGATTAGCAGAATGGTTTGGAGAGAGGGAGAGAGGAGTGGAGAGAGCTAGCTAGCAGAAGCTTAAGTCAGTGCTTTTCAAATTTTAAGATGCATACAAATCACTTTAGGATATTCTTAAAATGCACTGTTTCAGTAAGTCTGGGGGACAAGGAGTCTACATTTCTAACTAGCTCCCTGGTAATGCCAAAGAGCAGGTCCATGGACCCCACTTTTGAGTATTAAGGGCTCAAATAAGCAGGTATCAGATATGGGAATCTGCACTTGGAATATAACTGTGTGTTAGACTCAAAGTGTAGCCCCAAGACCAGCAGCATCAGCGTCACAGGGACCTTGCTGGAAATGCAGATCTCAGACCCCACCTCAGACCTGCTGAATTACACACACTGGGGCGGGGCCTGATAATCTGTTTTAACAAGCCCTTCAGGAGACTTGGATACATAGTCAAGTCTGAGAGCATGGTGTTAAATTTAGGACAGGGATGCGGTTCAACTGAAGGATACTAGATGGCCCCATGACTGAGAGTCCCAAGACTCATGCTGCCATGTGACTCACTTGACGCTAAGGCCAGGTCCCTCCTCGAGCTGCCTTCCCCAAACCATTCATTGCAAACAAGGCAGAGGCCTGCACTGAAGGGGGTCCTTCCTTCCCACCAGAACATCCACCTGGTGGCCAAGTGGCTCAGCACCCTGGAGAAGAAGCTGGAGGAGCACAGCGAGAACAGCCACCCAGAGTTCAGGGTCTTCATCAGCGCGGAGCCTGCGCCCTCCCCTGAGGGTCACATCATCCCCCAGGGCATCCTGGAGAACTCCATTAAAATCACCAGTGAGCCTCCCACGGGCATGCATGCCAACCTGCACAAGGCCCTGGACAACTTCACCCAGGTGAGGCCCCGGGTGGGAGGGAAGAGGAGCGCCCGCCTGCAAAGACCAGATTCAGCCAGGTGGGAGACAAGCGTGCAGCAGGGAGCAGGGACGGAGCTACTGGGCTGTGGAGCAACTGGGCCCCTGCACAGCTGACTCCTCCCAGTGCCTGCTGAGTACAACCAGCTCTCAATTCCCAATATGCCTGGGGGAGCCAGGCTTAGGCCTTTCATTGGAAAAACTCTGGGGGAGCTTTCTGTAAGTCTGCATGTTAAGTTGCTATAAACCTAATTGACATGCTATGCCAGTCACACACTTGCCACTAAGCATACTGCCTTCAAGAAGGAGGTTGATACTCATGTTCTGGTGATAAGAACTGATATCTGCATCATCTTGAGTATCATTTTCCTAAACGGGCCTTGCCTAAACTCCTACATACTCCATACCAGGGGCCAGACTGCTAAATTTTCTAGATGTTATATTCCACATAAGGGAAATACACATTCTTAATTCAAACAGTCCAGGTGTCAGATAGTGGGGATCTAGACTTGGAATGTAACCATGTATCAGACTCTTACCATAGATCCCAGACCAGCCTCATCACCGAAGAACTTGCTGGAAATGCAAACTCTCAGGCTGCACCCTAGACTTTCTGAATCAGAAACTCGGGTGGGGCCCAGGAATCTGTGTCCTGATGAGTCCTCCAGGGACTCCCTTGCACAGTCAACTTTGCGAATGCTGTATTACAATGCAACGAAGACTATCAAGGCAGTAGCTTTGAAAACGGGCTGCTACTGACTGGAGTTTCCATTACTGGGAATTCCAAGACTCATGCTGTGGAGTGTTCATTTAAAGCTGAGGACAGGTCCATGGCAGCCGGCTCCATGTATGAAGCTTGCCAGGTCAGTTTTCCTCTTCCCAGGAAGGCATCCTGTCTGGCTGCCCGTTCCTTGACGAGCTCCCCCTTCCTGGGAAGGCAGACACAAAAAGTGTGTTTACCAGGAGAGCAGGGGCCATGAGGGTTGCCTTAAAGTCCATCCACCTCACTGGGCCTTGGCTGGGTCCCAGAACAGGGTTCTGGGATCTGTCCTCTCTGATGGCATCTTACAATAGCGCCAGTGGGTCCCTGGCTTCATTGGAGCCCATGCTACAACTCATCTAGGGGACTTGGAATAGGCCGCTCAGCAGGACAGCTGCCTAGCTAGTGCCACTTAACTGAAGCACCAGGACCAGTGGCCCTTTGGGGTCTGGTTTAGCTTAAAATGGGATGAAGGCCATTTGGCAGTTGGAGTCTCGGAAGATTTTATCAAGTGCATGATACGGATCATAATGTAGGAATCCAGCAGTCCAACATGGACAGGAAACCTTCCAAAACAATTGAGAGGTTCACTCACCTTCCCAACCCACTCATCATTTGGAACAGAGAGTGGGGCAACATTACCCAGAGATTCAGGATATTTTAGTCTGACCTGTTTGTTAGAGATGCCTGCCCACTGCAACATGGAGCAGAAAGTAGAATGTTCTTCTGTCCAGGGGCATTTTCATTTCTTTTTTAAAATTTTTCCTAAACGGGCCTTGCCTAAAATCCTAGATACTCTTTACCAGAGGTCAGAACTGCTAAATTTTCTAGATGTTATATTCCGCATAAAGGAAATACACATTCTTAACTTTGAAATCTACAGCCTTCTTTACAGAAGGTGTAGCTGGGTCCAAGAAGACATTTCTGTCCTGAAAGGCATTGGGCCACATGACAATGTGAATACACATAATAGCACTACACTATATACACTTTAAATAGTGGAGATGGTACATTTTATGTGATGCATATTTTATCACAAATTTTTTAAAAGTTGAAAAAAAAGGCATTAGAATGCAGTGAGCTGTAGTGGAAAGCCAGCTGAAGGAAGCCCCCAGGCACAAGGACAAAGAGGCACACCTTCAAATGCTGAGACTGGTGACAGCAGCACAAAGTCAGAATAAAACAACCATTGCTAATCAGCAGGGCCCTTGGGGAAGTGGGAATAAAAGAGTTCAGCTCTGCATTTGTCCCTTAAATGGTTAAAATGGGGCTCAGGAGGAACAGGAGCTGCTGGCTTTTCCTAGTTCCCACTCTTGGGTTTATCTCCTGGCAAACCTGATGTTGTCTTGATGCTCAGGCAGCTGGGAAGACAGTCCAAGAGCTGCCGGCTTCTCCTGGTTCTTCTGTGCCTGCCACAGGTGGCTGTTTGGGCATCTATAGCCACCATCCGCAGCTCATTCGGAGAAAGGAGATGGACTTATGAGTGTATACATCCTTCTCAAGCATTTTAATTGTTCCATTCTGCTTTTCCACATGCCCTGGAGCAGAGGCCCTGGTGTGACACTCACGACTCCTCACTGTGTGCCTTCCAAGCCCCCTTTTAACCATTTACGGGACAAATGCAGAACTGAGCTCTCTTTCTTCCTGCTTCCCTGACAGCTGTGCTGTCGGGGGTTGACTGTTTTATTCTGACTGAGTGTGCCCCTGTCGGCCAGTTTCAGCATTTGTTCGCATGCCTTCTTGTCTGCGCTGAGAGGCATTTTTCAGCAGGATCTAGTTTCTTCAAATGTGTCAGAAGTAACAAAGCAGGCATCCTCCAGCTCTGGGGAACAGCTTGGTCCAGAAAGCAGTCCTAGGTCCTTCCTCGCACTGGACAGTGACTTTGTCCTCTGCACCACTTCTGACCTTGCCTCTCCATGCCTCTGTGCCAAATATGGTACCAAAGGCACCAGGGTGACCCCCACATATCCAGAGAGAGGTGGACTGTCGTGGGCCCTCCACGGCCAAACCAGACCGACCAGGAGCTTAACCTGGTTTGTCTCCTCTGTTCCTCCTGCCCATGTGAGCAAAGTGCAAGGACCAGCTCCTGGTAGGAACGCAGGCCTGACCCTGATGAGCGTGCATGAGCTTTGGAGGTGCTTCTCTTGGGCTCCACCTGCAACATCTTGCTCCTTGCTGAACATACAGGGTCTCACTCAGAGGAAATTACTTTTAATTCCAAAGAATCTAGGGATTTTTGTCCTACCATCCCTTCAAAACACAGCTTCCCACATCTCCACCTTCACCGCCATCCCTCTTAAGACCCACCAAGCACAGTTCTATTGCCTCCCTCCAGACTATCTCCTTCTTCTCTTCTCGATCCATCCTGTCTTTCATCCCCTCTCCATGAGCCATGTCTTTTCTGCCAGTCTGCACCCTGCAGTCAGAACCCCTCTTGTTTCTGCAGCCGCATATCCGGCTTCCCCCTCAGGAGTAGTGGAGCGGTTAGGGTGGTGGAGGGCATGACACTCCTCTGTTCCTTGTGCTCTGACTCCCATCCTTGCCCCCCTTCAGCATCTGCTCAGCAGATGAGCTGGGCATTCCTCTCACGCAGGCTAATTACACCTCCTGAGGTGCCATGAGGGGCCAGACACCATGGCAGGAAAGGAAGAAGTCAGAGAGGCCGCTGTGAGAGTCCTCACCCACACTCCGATGCAAAATGACATCACTGTGAAGAACGCAGTGCTCCGGGGCCCACTGCCCTGTTTTCCATCAGCTATGCTTGGGAACTTCATTAGTATGTCCATATGTGCGAACCCTAACTGTAAACTGTACCCCACTGTAACCAGAATCTAAACCTTAGCTCAGATTCTAAACTAAAACCCAACGCCTTTGCAAGGTCCCCTGGAACCCCAAGCCTGTGCCTGTCTGCTATGCAAGCTGCAGTCCTACAGCAGCTCAGAGCTAAGGAGGATACACGGTAGCTTAATCCAACGCAAGCCCCAGCCACCGTAGCCACACCGCGGCTTGCCCTGAGTAATGGTGTGTCTGTGTCATCACTGGGGGCAACACTTGCCTTTCAGGACACCCTGGAGATGTGTTCCCGGGAGACGGAGTTTAAGAGCATCCTCTTTGCTCTCTGTTACTTTCATGGGGTGGTAGCCGAAAGACGAAAGTTTGGGCCCCAGGGATGGAATCGCTCCTACCCCTTCAGCACCGGGGACCTCACCATCTCTGTGAATGTGCTCTACAACTTCCTAGAGGCCAACGCAAAGGTGAGGTTTCCAGCCAGTGCAGGGGGCATGAGGTAGGTGGGAAGGGCCACCCCTGAGGAGGAGGGTGCAGCACCCACACAGGGAAAAAGGGACATGTGTGCTGGGCACCCTCCCAAGCGGTGTGAGGAAGTGCAAGTTTAACCCTGTGGCTGATCCGGAATGACCCAAGGCCAAGAAGAGTGCCCTACAGAGGTTAGGGCCAAGAGAGCCCGGGAAACCAGACTAGTGACTCACATCCGGTGTGTCGGTCCCATGAGTGCCCTTCCCAAGGCCACCAGCCCAGGGCATGCACAGCCTTGCAGGGGTTGTGGATTGTCAGGAGGAGCCCCCCACTCACTTCCACACTGCTACCCCCCACACTGCCATCCCTTCCTTCGCTCCACGGAGGCCAGGCTTCCCCAAGTGATTTCCCTCCTAACTTTGACACCACTCAACTCATGTACTCTATTCCATTCACTATGAACTTTCAAAGGAGACAATTAACTATTAGCTAATTAGTGGCAGGAAATTAGGGAGGTGCCCCGCTCCTTGCTTCTTTCATTTGCCATTTGCCTATTTAAAAGACTCAGGTAGAGCCCGGATTCATGGCCACAGTTAATAACCACCAGAGAGGAAAGGCCTTTATGCGAGGGGACTGGCATATACCTTCCCCCCCACACCCTGTGATGCAATTCTTCAAACATTTAATGGCCCCCCAAACATGCCTGACTTTGCTGGGCACTTGGGGTGTCCGCTCTTCCCTCGCTGCAGCCCAACAGGACCTGGGGCGCTCAGAGCTGGGCCTGTCTGCAGTGTGGGCCTCAGCCCCAAATTTGCCCTGTTCAGTTCGAGAGCTATAGGATTTCTACCATCAAATATTAATGATACAATTGAGCCTTTGGAGATCTTTTCATTCTTGATGTTTGGTTCAATAATTCTATTTGTTGCTCTTTTTTACAAATAACATCTGGGGTATTCATTTGATTATTTTCATTCAGGATATTGGCAAAGCCATTAGGAGCAAAATTTCAGTAAGAACTTACCCAGCTTTTAGTGTCGTTCCTATTATTCTCAGTATCTTCAGAGGGACCCGATCTTGTGGCCAGTCCTCTCACCCCTCCGACTCTGCTCGCTGCTGGGAACACAGGCCATATGCTCACACACACACACAGCAAGAAAAACGTTTTCATGGAGCTTTTTCATACTACTTCTTTGGTTTTGCCTATTGCTACAGCTATTTGTAAGGAGCGCATCTTTACCTTTTTAGCTTGTCATGAAAAATATATTGAAAGATAATATCATTTTTTAAAAATTAATTAATTTATTTTGTTGTCATTAATCTACAATTACATGAAGAATATTATGTTTACTAGGGTCCCCCCTTCACCAAATACCCCCCCACAAGCCCCATTACAGTACTGTCCATCAGCATAGTAAGATGCTGTAGAATCACTACTTGTCTTCTCTGTGTCGCACAGCCCTCCACGTGCCCCCACACACATTATACATGCTAATCGTAATGTCCCCTTTCTTTTTCTCCACCCTTATTCCTCCCTTCCCTCCCTTTCTCCCCAGTCCCTTTCCCTTTGGTAACTGTTAGTCCATTCTTAGGTTCTGTGATTCTGCTGCTGTTTTGTTCCTTCAGTCTTTCTTTGTTCCTATAGTCTCTGGGTTTGAGGTGAGTCTCTTGTAAGCAGCATAGAGATGGGTCTTGCTTTTCTATCCATTCTATTATTCTGTGTCTTTTGATTGGTGCATTCAGTCCTGGGGTGATTATTGAAAGATATGTACTAATTGCCATTGCAGGCTTTAGGTTCGTGGTTGCCAAAGGTTCAAGGTTAGCTTCTTTAGTATCTTACTGTCTAACTTAACTCACTTATTGAGGTATTTTAAACACTGTCTGGTCATTCTTTATTTTTCTCCCTTCTTATTCCTCCTCCTCCGTTCTTTATATGTTGGTTGTTTTATTCTGTGCTCTTTTGTGCTTCCTTTAACTGCTTTTGTGGGTAGTTGATTTTATTTTTTGCCTTTAGTTAGTATTTGGCTGGTCTGCTTTCTTTGCTGTGA